ATATCAGTATTACAGAAAGTGCATGTGTTCGTATCTATATTTAATTTCTTGTGAAGATAGTCATTGGACAGATATATGGCATTTACAATTTTAAAGGGATTTTCTTTTGCTTTAGGTGGACTTGAAAAAGAAAGATATTTAGTCAAAAACTTCAAATAATAGTCTCTAACCATTTTTTTCTTTTTAGGTGTGAAGGGAAAATTGTCCTTAAATGTATTATTGCATGCCTTTCCTTTAAATTGGTGTTTAAGAATAATAATACTGTGATCTGTCAACGGGGCTGCTGAGATAGAAACATGTGAAACATATCTATATAGTAAAGTCGAGCCCAACCACAGATCTAGACATAAACATTTACTAGAATCACAAATGAACCATCAATATTCAATAAAATTACCAGCCAGTGTCCTGAATCATCAGCCTGAAAAGTCACGACCTTCCCTGGACATTGGTAGAAACAGAGAGCTACTCCAGCAGAGTGGTTGGATCAGTGGCCGAAGAGGATTTTTCACCCCACTCATTTGACCAGAAGGTGGCATCAGCGTCACTTGAATGAGTTTCTTGTAGTAAGGTGCAATTAGCTTTTAGCCCTTTGATAAACATAAACATTGCTTTTCTTTTAACGTTATCCCTGAGTACTTTAACATTCAATGACACAAAGGATAAACATGTGCGTAGCATTAAAAATAAAGAGTTCAAAATATTAAGAATATCAAACTTGAATAGAAAAAAGAGAAAAAGTTAGTTTACTTTCCTGTTTAGAAAAAGGTGAAAGAACAGCGGTGCTGGCACCTCCCATCACATTCAAAACTGTCAAACGTCCCTCTTTATGTAGAGTTCAGAGAACAAGTAAGAGTGAACACTTTTCAACCATCCGCCAGAACGCGACGGCCATTAATATACCAGACAGCTCCTCTGTAGTAAGCCTATAAATATAAGTATTATAATATAATCAAAATATAATCAAGTATTTAATATATAATCTGCTGACTGGAGCAGTCAGGATCTCCATGCATTAGCATGCTCCTTTTGTTCCCAGTGAAAATGATTCCTCTTGAGTTTTTAGTGTATTTAATTCAGAGTCAGCTGTTTAAACTAAAACAGAACATTTTACATCAGGGGATATGACGGGTGTAATTCAAAGTACAATCACAGCTCTCTAAGTAAGATTTCAGTGTTAAATAAAACTGTCCAGTTATGAAGCTGAACTTTAATCTCAGCCAAACTGACTCAGGAACAAATAAAACACTAAATTAAACCCAACATTAGAATTTAGAAGTTGCCTAAGAGACTTAAATATCATGTTTAACCTGAGTAGCGAAAGACCACGGGCGGTTTAAAAATGATATGCTGGGATTTCACTCATCTCACCTGCTGTAGTGGTCCTTGACCTCCCGGTCAGCTATTGCTGGTGGGTAACAGATGTCTCAGAAAACATCAGAGTACTTTTGCAAATATGTGACGTCTTGATAAATCAAGCAGCTATTTGAAGTTCATATAGCTACATTCTTGCCTGAAAATATCTCTCAACAGCACAGTGTTACAAGAGATCATGACTACTGCTCAGTCCCTGAGCCGTCAGCAGAAGACCTGTCCAAAGACGTGGAGAGTCTGAGGAAGGAAATACAGGCGTTACGTGTCCAGCGAGAGTTTGGGTTACAGCGGTTTGCTGGCTCTGACACTGACATCCAATTCTATACCAGGTACATCGAAGTTCAAGTGTTTCCAGTCTTCATGAAAACAACATAGATATTTACTTTTTATCTGCTGACTGTATGTTTCGTGTGTGATGTTAATTAATGATTGACACGATGTTTGTCTCTCTTGTGAATAGATTTCCAAGCTATGATCATTTGATGGCATTCTGGGTTTTGATTGAGCCTTGCATCTATAAAATGATCCGGGCTTCAAGAGCCAAGTCAGCTGCCACCACGGACGAAGAAGTGTTGACACCTGCACGCACACAAGCGGTATGCTATGGCTTTGTTGGTAGTTGGAACTAGAGGTGCGATGGCATTGTGTTTATGTAGATCCTAAACGGCTCAGCATCCTTTGCATACTTACATCTGTGTACTACAGCACCTGTTTTCCCCATCGTTCTGTTGTGTTCATGACATGGGAGAAAAAAAATAAAGATGAACTTTTGCGAGATCTGGCAAATGTTTTGGCTGCATCCTCCGGGAGGTCGAGGCACTATGGGCCTGGAGTGCGGTGTTCCCCCCGGCTGTAGTGGGCCTCGACCTGCTGTTAGCTTTCAGCTGGTGGGTAACAGACATCTTCAAAAACAAAAAAATTACCACTTTTGCAAATATGTGATGTCTTGATAAACTGAGCAGATATTTGAAGTTTACACAGCTACATTCACGTCTGAAAATATCTTAAAAGTTTATTTTGTGACCCAGAAAGAGTCATATTAAAACTAAGTAGCTGCTGCTATTGTTGGAAACGGATTGGCTGGTATGAGTTCTCGGATAGGTTGGGTCACGAAGGATACGCCAACTTGGCCTTCAAATGCTACCTACTTTTGCGAGATCTTGCAAAAGTTAATCTTATTTATTTTTTTTATTTTTTTCCCTATGTTCCTTGCGGGGCTCCATACTCCATGGTACTGTTGTGTGTGTTCAGAAGGAATTTCAGGAGAACGTTCTGTCATTTAAAAAGATTTAATTTGTGTTAGCAATACAAATTACAAGTTTACACAGCGCTGTGGACCTCTATGTGAGATCAAGCATCTGGTTCACAAAAAGGATAACCCTCCACAACTTTATATAGTGAGACAATAACAAAGATTGTCATGGCTATCGTGCTCTCACACAGAGATGGCAGTCCTGCTGTCTCCCTGCGAATCTTCCTTGTACATTTGTGACCTCCTCTGGTATCTGCTCTCTCCTCTGTAAGAGAGAAAAGAAAAACACCTCCCCGCCTAGTTTTGATTATTTCTTGATTATTTAATTCTGTCCCACTGCTACTTGCAGACATATTATTTGGCCCTCTGAACCAGAGAATATCCCTGTAATCGTGTGTGTGTGAGCGTGTTGCTAGCAACCCTCTGAACTCTACATCATTCCTACTC